TCCTAATCTGTACATATTGTGAAACTGATGGCCTTTGAAAGACAGTCTCTCCCCTAGTCGATATTGCCCTAGCTACCTCAAAAGTTTCTCATCAATGAATCTGCTCTTAGCCCCAAAAATATATCCCTAATGGCTTTCTCCCATACAAGATAAATAGACGATCCTGTTTCTCTAGAACAAAAAAAATAAAACCATGGAGACTCCTTGTAAGCCATGGCCATCTCGTTTTCTCCAGAAAAATAATAAAACCATGGAGACTCCTTGTAATAAACGATCTCATTTTCTCAAGAGAAGAAATAAACCCATGGAGTTGGAGACTACTAATTTCGTCCGCTGGTCAAAATTCCCTATCGATATCTTGAAACTTGTGTTTGAACATTTGAGTTTTGTTGATTTTCACCGTTCTTAGATCGTGTGTTCGTATTGGTATTTGTGTTCGAAACAAACGTTTCCCATGAAAAATACATCTCCATGGTTGATACTTTTTCCAAAAGAAGAAGATGGTTGCTTCTTGTTTAATCTAGACGAAACTAGGGTTTACAAGCCGACGAAGCGTGATTTTTCAAGGTTTTGATTCTTGGCAAACTCAGATAACTGGTTCCTTGTGTTAGATTTTAAATCAAAACTCTATATTATAGATGTGTTTAGCGAGAAGAAGATCGATCTTCCACCTCTAGAATCGATTAAAGGTGGTCGTTGTCGTCTTTAACAAGTAGGAGATAAGAAATTCGAAGAGAATGATCACTCTAGACGAATAAGAGATGCTGAAAATCTGAAAGGTATTTTGTGGGTAGACGAAAGCAAGAAAGAGTACGTTGTAGTGTGGTTCTTTCAAACCGGTTCCAATTATCTAGCATTTTGCAAGAATGAACAATGAGATTTCAAGACGGATCGGTGTTCCCCGCAAGTTACAAGGTGTGTCTGATATGGTTACAATCTTTAAGTGTTAAGGACTAGTAAATATATTCGAATCCTGGATTGGCTGGACAAGAAGGTTTCATAGATGTCTCCAAGGATAATGGATTACTAATGCGTCTGAGTGATGATGATGATAAAACATGTAATGTTGCGGTTACAAGATCTGGAGAGGTTTAATTGGTCCAGACCATCCTTAACAAGAACATGAAGTTGAGGACCTTCCGGGTCTGGATCCTGATGTAGACAAGCTTGCTGAGATAGATTTACTTGGTGATGATGATGAGGCCTTTCTTCTTGATTCGGGTATCAACGTGCCTGCTTATTGTACCGTTGGTCTCAAACCAAACTCCATCTATTTCACTCGTCTTGACCGTGTCTGTCCATACAAACGTTTCTTCGACATATGTATGTTCAATCTTGCAACAAAGTATTTCGAACGCTTCCCTGGTATCTCCAAGTTAAAGCTCAAGGATGCTCGATGGTTTCTCCATAGGGCTTGATTTCTTTTCTTTTGGTGCATTTCCGGTGTTAAATTCCCTATATTATCATTGGTTTTCAAACAAACGTGTTTTTATTGATTTAACGAAGATTTTGAGTCACTTTTACAAGTATGGAGGCTTTGCGAAGTAATTTTTAATTATTGATATTCACTTTGATATTATTTTCATCTGGACTTTCTGTAGTCTAATTTAGTACTTGACAACATTATTTATAGAGAGAGCGTTAAATAAATCTTCAATAACAACTGTATAGATTATTGAGCGTTAAAAAACGTTTAGGTTATCTACACTTTTCTCATATCATTGTGTAATGGTTGATAACGTGAACAAAACCTAGTCGAATTTGTATGCAAACCATCACTAAACCATCCATATTTTCATCACAATAAGCACTTCTCTTTATGTAGTGCATCTCTTCAATTTCTTTAGAAACAATATAAAAAAAATCACGGTGACAAAGTTAGAGACGAAGCACCCTCCACAATTGTCTCTATTTCAGTTTTAACAAGTTCCTAATTTAATTTGAGTTTTCAACCTAAAACAAAAAGTCATGGATGTATCTTACATAGAACAAAAACCAAACACACACAAACTTGTCTTAACACAATTTAAATATTGTCTTAACATACAACACAAACCAAACACACACAAGCTTGAATCTTGTCTTAACAAACAACACAAACAAGAATTTAACTTAGCCTAGTAGCTTACC